CGGCTTTTCTCCAGAAATATCCTTTAACGACAATAACTTTATCTTTCCGACATCTCAACCACAGACCTTTTAATCTCTGTAATGAAATCCCACACCAATTACATAGGACCAGATGGCATCCCTGTCAAATCAATAAAAGTATGTCTTCCTGAAATCCTCCCAATTCTCCTTTTTATCTACAATTTCACCCTTCAGAATTCAGTATTTCCTACCTCTTGGAAAAAAAAAACCAATGTTCTTCCTTTAAATAAAAAGCCTAAGCCATCCTCGCCCGAAGATTTCCGCCCAATTTCAATTGTTACTAACCTCTCAAAACCCCTTGAAAGATTGGTGCAATCCTAACTCTCCAAGTTCCTTGAAAAGTCCAACCAATTTGATCCTTTCTAATCTGGTTTCCGTCCCGGCTATTCCACACAATCTGCCTTAATTAAAATTGCCAGCGACATTCAAACTGCACTAGATGATAGAAAATTAACTGTCCTTATACTTCTCAACTTCTGCAAAGCCTTCGATACCATCAACCATTCCATCCTCTTCAACAAACTAAAATCATTGTCTTTCTCCAATAGTACCATCTCTTGGTTCCAAGCTTTCCTCTCCCAACGCACCCAAGCAGTCTCCATACCCAATCAACCACTATCTGCCTACCTTCCTTTATCCTCTGGAGTTGCCCAGGGTACAAGCATATCTCCTCTCCTTTTCAGCTCATATATTAACGACCTACATAATTCACTTATCCATTGTTCCTACCACCTTTATGCAGACGATACCCAGATCTACCTATCCTTTTCTTCCCCTGATTTATTGGTAACATTTGCCAAGATTCAAGAAGACCTTGATCGATTCAGTGCCTGGGCTAATGTAAATGGATTAAGGTTAAATACTGCCTAAACTCAGGCCATTGTCACTAGTTCCAAGTCCCTTATTAGATCCCATGCCGATTTTCCCATATTACACCTTCATGACCAGCCAATTTTTTTCTACTCCTCTTTTAAAAATTTAGGATTTTTCATAGATCAAACCCTCTTCTGAAACTACCATATTTCTTACATTTCCCGAAGAACAATCTCTACCCTCAAACTATTTCATCGCTTCCACCATCTCCTACCTCAATAGATAGATAGATAGATAGATAGAAGATAACTTTTTTCTGGGACACAGTGGGACACCCTTGAGAATAACAAAATAGAACAAAATTAAAAGATTGCCCCTGGCGTAAATAAAAATAAATTTAGGAAAAAAGAAATAGTGTAAAAAAAATATAAGGTAAACATTCTATAAAAAAAAAAAAAAAAAATATATATACAAAACAATTAACACTATGACAAGACACTTAAAGTTATTTGCACTGATAGACCAGCATACACTTTTAAGAAAACAATAAAGAAAAAAAATACATATATATTTAATTCTTCATTAAAATACGCTTTGTGTTTCTGTTGAGAAAATAGAAAGCTGAATTTGACAATATAAAGTGCCTGATTAATACATAAATACATTATCATTTAAATTTTGATTAATATATAAATACATCATCATCATTTCTTAATGTAACAATAGGCAAGAATTTAGTGGTCTATTAAAGATAATAGTTATATACTACCAATAGATGGGTTCAGTGACATCAAGAGTCGGAAAATCTTTACCCTTTAAGGAAATTAATATCCCTAGCAAAGAATAAAATTGATATTTGGCAATGAATGGCATAAAATAAATGTATGTTGTCAAATGGTTAGCAACTATCTGACTGTTTTTGGGATAGGAATTGGAATAGGAGGGTTTTGAATGTGGATATGGAGGGAGGGAATTTCATAAATTGACAGAGCGAGCAATAGAGGAGTTTTGGAATGAGGCAGATCTGTGAGAAGGCATGTAAAGGTTTGAAGGTCGAGATCTTGTGGAAAGGGAATAGACTGAGGATTTGAACTGCAGAAAGTTGTAGGCGTAAGAAGGACAATGATTGTTAATGATTTGGTAGAGGAACTTAGGAAATATTGTCTTCGGAAGGAGGGGAAAAGCCACCTTAACTCAGCATAGTGGTGAGAGACATGAGAGTATTTTGGTGCCCCAATCACAAAGCTTACGCAGCTGTTCATTAGTCTTTTCAGTCTATCGCGGAGCTCCACAGAGAGGCCATCTTCCCCCACTTTGACTACATCTGTGTGGTGTATGATGAACATAGCTGCGTAAGATTTGTAATTGGTGCCCCCGAGATACTCCCACTACACTGTCTCTTAACACTCACTGAGTTAAGGTGGCTCTTTCCCTCCTTTCGAAGACAATATTTCCTAGCTACGTTCCTTTATCAAATCATCAACAATCATCGTCCTTCTTACGCCTAAAACCTTCTCCTCGGTCCATTCCCTTTCCACAAGATTCTGATCTTTACATCTCTTCGCACAGAACTGCCTCATTTTAAAACTCCTTTATTGCTCGCGCTGTCAATTTCTGGAATTCTCTACCAATCAAAGTTCGGCATTCTCCCTCCATATCCACATTCAAAACACTCCTATTCCAATTTCTATCCCAAAAACAATCAGATAAGTTTTTTATATATAATTTAGGCCAAAGGTCACCAAATATACACAGTTTTTATATCCTGTATTCTTTATTCGACGTTTCGGCTTCAGGAGTCCTTTTCAAGATCTTGTAAAACTAATTTTAATTTAGTTTTTACAATTCAAATACATCCTTATCAGACACATATTATTTAACAACTATCAGTAATACAGATAGTCCAAAATTTATTTTATATATATATTTTTTTAAATGTTTAATATGTGTCTGATAAGGATGTATTTGAATTGTAAAAACTAAATTAAAATTTAGTTTGTTGAATGTTGAAACGAGTGTTTCAACTGCCTCCCGCAGTGCCACATCCTACGCCCTGAAGACGACCTGCAAAGTGGGTCGAAACGTCGGCAAAAATTAAAATAATTTATATATTTTAATTTTTTTTTATTTATTTGACCGAACCCTCGACTAACTCCTTCTCATCTTAAATTAAAATTAGTTTTGCAGAATCTTTAAAATAGATCCTGAAGCCGAAACGTCGAATAAAGAATACAGGATATAAAAACTGTGTATATTTGGTGACCTTTGGCCTAAAATATATATAAAAAACTTATAAGAAAATGGCGCCAAACCTGAAGGATGTGACTAGAAAATACAATCAGATACTTGCTAAGCTTTTGATATTATACATTTCTAGTATATCATTCATCAAATGATAGTACTATTCCATACTGTAAACTTCAATAATATCTTCCTATTCTTAATTCGACTGAATGCATCTTTTTTTTTTTTTTTTTTTTTTTTTTTTTTATTTATTCTTATACAAATAAATCTGTACCTATAGTTACAATAAGATAATGATGAGTTTACATATCATTCATTTTGTAAATACTCTGACATTTTATGTTGTCAGATTCGTCTTTCCTTTGTTAGCAAAAACACAAAGCTTATTTTAAAGAAGAACTCAATGTATTTTTTATTATTTTATTTCTCAAAAGTGTATAATTATAATTTTTCCTACTGTACATAGTTTTAAGTGTCTTGTCACAGTTTTAAGTGTTTTGTATATAGATTTTTTTTTTTGTATATAGCTTGTTTAACTAATATTTTCTTTACTTTTTGTTTTTTGTTATTGTTTTTTTAGGCCAGATGTAGTCTTTTAATTCTGTACTAATCAAATGTCAAAAACACAGAAAAGTATTCTTTTCAATAAATTAAACAAGAAAACAAAAAAAAGCACAATAATGTTGAAATAAACCTTCATTGATAGGCTTGAAAAATTAATAGGTAGGTCTGGCGGTCTAGTCCTTACCTCACGATTTATGTTCCCCCAACTCCCATTTATGAGTGAGCGAACCTGGTAGTTTTATAGACCTTGGTTGACTATAGTGAATAATTGAAGAGAAGGACGGTTGGGGTGATCAGTCAAAAAAGAAATTTAAAAATAAATAAGTATATTTATTTTTATTTTTACGGACAGCCCAAAGTTCAGGTATTCATTAGGCCTGCTAGGGAGGAGATATGCTTGTACCCTGGGCAACTCCAGAGGATAAAGGAAGGTAGGCAGATAGTGGTTGATTGGGTATGGAGACTGCTTGGGTGCGTTGGGAGAGGAAAGCTTGGAACCAAGAGATGGTACTATTGGAGAAAGACAATGATTTTAGTTTGTTGAAGAGGATGGAATGGTTGATGGTATCGAAGGCTTTGCAGAAGTTGAGAAGTATAAGGACAGTTAATTTTCTATCATCTAGTGCAGTTTGAATGTCGCTGGCAATTTTAATTAAGGCAGATTGTGTGGAATAGCCGGGACGGAAACCAGATTAGAAAGGATCAAATTGGTTGGACTTTTCAAGTAACTTGGAGAGTTAGGATTGCACCAATCTTTCAAGGGGTTTTGAGAGGTTAGTAACAATTGAAATTGGGCGGAAATCTTCAGGCGAGGATGGCTTAGGCTTTTTATTTAAAGGAAGAACATTGGTTTTTTTTTTTCCAAGAGGTAGGAAATACTGAATAATTTTTTTTTTATTATTGATGCTCCTTCAATATTATTGATATAAGCAGTATCAATATAATCGCACGTGTAATGGCTATATTGAGCAATATTAAACCATATATACGGATCTTGAAAATCACTGGGCGATACCAAATTTCTTGTGCCCCTCTTGGCAATATGTTTGGGTAGGTGGGTGATACTTTGTTTTAACATTTTTCTTTTTGAAGTGGAGTCATCCCTCTCCTTTTAATTCAAATGATAACTGGGAAACTTAACACGATTAGTTGATATTTTAGCCATTGTAGCGCTTATGCTTGTCAAGTTCTTGGGGTGTATTACATATTTAAATCGTTCTATAAAATATATTAGTAAAATATTTGCTTTGATCATTATATCCAATTAGGAAGATTTAATACAAAATTTGGTTTATCATTTAGTGCTGAGTTTAGTATCGATCCATGATGACTGCTGTATCTTATCGTAGGAAATAAAACAGCTGGCTTAGATGGCCTTTGGATTCACTCCTTCTTACGATCTTGGGTGTTAAAGTTCTGTATAATTGTTTGGGTCAGTGTGTGATTTCGTCGTTTGTTGTTAGTTTTTCCAAAATGTATATTAGAGCCATGAATTGTTTTCCCTTATTGCTACTTTTATTCGTTAGTTTTGTCAGTGGAAAAGAAGGTAATCATTTTTGATATTATCTTGTAATGTGCTTTGCCTTAATTAGTTATTCATTAATTTTTTTTTTAAATGTTATTGATGTTTTGTGATTAAATTAACTTATGCAGTATTAGTATAATATTTTGTTATAAGTCTGTAACTGTTATCTACATTTTCTATCAGTTCAACATTTTATAGTTTTTTAATCCAATTTTTATTCTTATCGATTGTATATTTTTTGTCTGTTGAGAATATTTAATTATATTTATGTGATCTTCCTGTAGATAATGTTAAGTGTCTTGCTTAAGTTATTTATTTTAGTGATACTGAGAATTTACTTATTGAAAGAGGGATTGTATAGTTTTTTTTGTTTTGTTTTTTTAATTGATCACTGGGAAAAAGTTAAATTCTAATTCATTCGATATCTCATTTATTAAATTTTTTAAGGTCAAGGATTGGGAGGGGCCATTTAATCTGTCTAGTGTTTTCAGACAATATAATTATTATATGGTTTTAACTATATTATAAATTATCTTCTATTTAATTAGATAATCTGTACTAGTCTTGTAAACGATGATTATTTTAATCATTATCTACACAAGATAAACTTTGTTTAATATTCCAAAGGTGTTAACCACTTATATAATTTAAGTGATTAATGATAGTTATTATATAACAATAGTTATTTTATCGCTTTATTTTTTCTCTATTTTTAAATATGCTAATTTTTCTTCATAACTTCATTTTATCAAGTCCAGTAGAAATGAATTATCAACAATACATTTTTCAACCTTTATTGAATAGTTGTTAACGATAAAATATTTGCTTATTTTATTATGAATCAAGTGTCCCAATAATCATGTTATTGTGTAGCTATCTTCCAAACTACTTAATTGGTTTTAAACTATTTTTGTATATTCTTCTGTTTGAAATGTTAGGAATAAAATAAGAAATATGTTTCTGTTCTATTACTAAGTTGCTATTTGTATTTTCATTTTTAATAATTTCCATAGTATTTTTTTTGTTATTTAGAGGTCATATGAGTATAAATGTATTTTTTAATTTATTAATTGAAACTCCCAATTTAGATATCAATTTTTATTCTAAATAACATTGATAATTTGTTCTTTTAAAAATATTATAGAAATAAATTTAAAGGTTTATAGCTTGCACTAATTGCATCCTAATGGGTTTTGTTACATTTGCAGGAAAACGACTTTTATATATCTAATTCATCCTTCAAAAAATGAACAGAAACAAAGATTCATTGGTTAACCCTAGACTTGTTAAAACTTGCTTATTGTCAAACCTTACTGGCTGCTATCCTATAGGCAAGTTCCTAAGCTCAGCGTTCCAGAGCTCAACAATGGTAACATCGTGGTACCCAGTTTAGAGATGGATCTAATGCCATTGATGAACTCAACTCTAAGTTTAGGAAATTGCCCCATGCAAGTGCTTATACTGTTTATCTTTGTCTTCCTGAGGACTAGCTTGAGGGAATTTGGGAAGTTTATATGACTAGTTAAACTAGATTTTCCTCCAGGATTTGGAAAAGGTTTAAATAAAATTCATTTAAGTACCTTTATCACGTGTTTTCTGTCAAATCTTGTTCAGTTCAAGGCCAAATTCTTTTTTTTAATTATGTTCATTTTTTGAGGTTTTTCAAAAAAAATTTAATGTGGTATGTTCTTGATGTTATCAATTAACTGCATTCATTGTATTAAAATTTTTTGGTGATACTGCATCGAAAAATATTAGATATGTGGGGTCATTTCCAATGGGCCCTAGAAGCCCTAGAATTTTTTAAATATAATTTCAAAAAAAATTTATGTTATTTATTTTTGCCTTTGCTTTGCCCAGAGTTTTAAGTTACTATATATCAGTCTTTTCTTTGCAGAATAAAAAATATATTAACTATTGTATTAAATGAGTTATTATGTATCATAAGTTACAAAAAACAGAAGGCACTTCCAGTAAAGTAGGCCAAGTAAATTTTTGTTACGAAAATCCAATTAGATTCCTTTTCAGGACCCCTCAAATTCTTTAATACGAATTTTTATGTAAATAAAAAATTAGAACCTTTTGTTCTTGATTTTCTTGGATAAGTTTTTTTTTGGCCATTAACTAAAGTATTCATAACTCCTCAGGATTTCCTTCAGATTCAACTTTAATATAAACATTGGAAAGCTGAATTACTGCTCTTCCAACTGTCACCAATAACTTTTTTATTGTATTTTTTCTTTTTCATGCTAGAAATTAAGAAAAACTTCTAACCCATTTTTATTTTATATCCTTAGTTTTAATTTGTTTACGAATTTCTGGTTTATACCATTTCGTGGTGTAGCTCACAGGGACCTAAATCCCTATTAATTTTTGTGTGGATTGGTGAAGCCGTTATCACAAATTTTGTGGTTGTTGACAAAATTTCCAAGGGTCCACCAGTCGAGGCTAAAATTTTGTGTATAAAATTTAAATTTTTCTATTGCTATAAAAATTCGTATTTAAAGGGTTTTTTTTGAGGTGTGAAAAATGAATATCAACTATGTTTCTCATTACAAAAATATTTACTCGCACATTACCACGTCCGTTGGTCCAAATTGCCCTCATACTTGTAGCTATCTGCCACATAAAATATTTATTAAAAACAGGACTGGTATCTAGAGTAAATATTTTTTAGGGAGAAACAAAGGTGGACCCTCAAATATATTTATTTAATGGAGATTTGTTTTCATTCTAGGAATTAAGGTCAAAGCTGTCTATGATTATGATAATATGAGGTTCTTGGAGTATAAAACAACTAATGTCTTGGAATGTAATATAACAGAGTTGCCTTCAGGTTCCGGACCATCGAGTGAATATATTTGGACTTGGTGTGTATTTTATTTATTTAGATCACATATTTATCGTATAATGTATTTTTATTAAGTATTATCTATATGTATTAAATATTGACAATGTTGTATAAGAATATGAGTAAAAATCATTTAAATAAAAAAATTGTGTGGCAGAAATAAATAATTATGAAGAACAAGAAAAGTAAATTTTATTCTGGGACTAAGTCCCCTTAGAATAACTACAATGTATAATTTAATGACAAATGTCTAGCATTAAAAATAATTAGGAATAAATTATATTACAAGGTTATCTAGATCTAAAATTACAATACAGAAAAAGGCACTGGTAGATAAACGAAATAAATAGATAAATTCAGATATGCGAGTTCACATATTTGTACACTTGAACAATGTGGATGATATATAATTATCTGTAGGATTACATCAAATGCGACTGACAGATCTGAAAAACGTGAAAATGATTTTACACATATTCGGGAAATCGATTGCTGAGGAGATGGATAAATAAATTATGTTTAAATGAGGTCAAGGATGAGGATTTGTGTATGGAGGTTGGTAGGGAATTCCAAAACATAATAGCGCATATGACAAAGTATTTTTTAAAGGAAACAATTCTATGAGAAGGAATAAACAGGTTTGAGGGCTGGGATCTAGTGTTGATCGAATTGCCAAAGGAACAAGGAGTCTACAAATCGAGAAGGTAAGAGGGTTTTTTGATTGAAAGGGTTCAAAAAAGGAATACTCCTAGGGAGTGTTGCCGTCGAAAGACTGGATAGAGCCACTTCAACTTGGCATACCAACTGGAGATATGGGAGCGCCTGGGGACTCCAAAAATAAATCTAATGAAACAATTCATTAGTCTCTTTAATCTGATCTCAAACCCACCAGACAGTCCACTGTATACAAGGCAGTCATAATCGAAATGAGAGAGGAAACTAGGAGCTGACAGATTTTAAGGGGCATAGAGTCATGGAGTTAAAAACTGTTTGAGGATAGCAATGGACTTTCGTATAATTTGGAAAATGTTATTATTCCAGGACAGATGTTGATTAAACGTTACCCCAATGTTTCTTACCGAACTGTGGAAATGTATGGGTATCCCATTGAGGTAGAGTAGAGGATAATAAGGAATGAGATTAATCAGATGCTTAGAACCAATGAGAATGGCTTTGATCTTCTGAACATTCAATTTTAAATCATTGCTCACTGCCCAGGTATTAATACTGTCAATATCTTGTAGCCTTTGGATTGCCTCAAGCATCTCTGTAGAATGGAAGGAAAGATAGATTTGGAGATCGTCAGTATATAAGTGATATTGTGAATGATGGATGGAATCAAGAAGGTCGTTGATGTAGATGAAGAAAAGATTTGGAGAGAGCGAATATCCCTGAGGAACATCGCGGATTAGTAAGAGGGGGCAGGAAGGAGTTTTATTAGGTATGATGACTGTTTGGGATCTTTGATACAAGAAGGAATGGAACCACTTCAGAGCACTATTTGATATGGAAAGGTTTTGGAGTTTGGAAAGGAGAATTTCATGATTGACTGAATCGAATGCTTTTGAGAAATCAAAGAGGAACAAGATAGTGATTTTCTGTTTGTCTATGAAGAAATGAAGGTCTTGGTTAATTTTCAACAAAGCAGACTGGGTGGAGAATTGGGATAGGAAACCAGACTGAAAGGGATTGAGGAGAGCTTTTTGTTCTAGGAAGTTGTTAAGCTATGGAAAATTCTTTCAAGAGGTTTTGAAAGGTTGGAGAAAATAGAGATGAGACTGAAATCGGAAACTTTCTAGAGAAGTGGCATTTTATTCAACGGACGGACAATAACTTTTTACAGGCTGATGGGAAACTGGAATTTTATATGAAAAAATTGTAGATATACAGTAGGCTATGAAAGATGACAGGAAGACATAGTTTGATTAACTTTACATTTGTTCTGGATTTTAGGACAGAGGCAAGTAGGTCTTCTGGTGAAATAATTGCAAAATAGAAATTTTCAGGGTCAAGGGGGAAGAATGAGGAGGAAAGTGGTAGTAATGAATCAGAGTTGGCAAAGTGGGAATTCAGTTGATCAGAAGAAACAGGGTAGGATGTACAGGTTTTTTATTTTACTATGGAGAGATTTTCCGATACTTGTGAGATAGCCGGGCGGCTCCCTTGTTATCTAATGTTACATCACATAACCTTTCTTCTTATCTCGTGTAAGCAGTTATATGTTCCATTGTTTATTTTCGTTCCTCGTGTAAGCTGTGAGTTGTTCCATTGTTTATTTTTGTTTCATTTGTATGATTTTCGGCAAATTATGGATGTTATTACATTCTGTGAATTACCGTCTTCAGAAGAAGAGGTTATCGAATATTTTCAAAATGCCGGGATAATTCCAAATGTGAAATTGTGTGAAGAAAGTCATCAAATGAAGTAAGACAGGAAGTCTCATCAAATGGAGATGCTTTCGTATCACTTGTAACAAAAACGTTTCTATAAGGAAAGGAATGTGGTTAGAGGGGTCGAGGATTTCGTTTTTAATGGCTTTAAAATTAATTTATGGGATGTCCCATAATTTAACAACAATAAACTGGGACAAAGAGCAGCTGAAAATATCCAAAGCAACTATGCAAATTTTTAAGGGAGGTTTGTGCCCATAACATGTTATACAGGTCAAATAAAAAAATTGGAGGGCCTGGCAAAGTTGTTGAAGTAGACAAGAGTCTTTTTTCTATAAGAAAAAATCATGAAGGGAGTGTTCTTCCTGAGCAACCTATGTTTGGCAGAGTTTGCCGAGAAACAGACGAGTGTTTTATCATTAAAATAAACGACAATAAGGCAACAACTTTATTACAAGGTATTAAAAACAATATACAAGTGTTTTGTTATTGTTGTGGGGATTATTACGTTTCTTTTTGTCTATTTAATATATATGTTGTAAAATAAATGTATTTTTTTTTATTATTACATTTGTTATTGTTTACTATTTCAGTAATATGAATATAATACAATAAATATGAATACGCTGATAGGAATTATCAGTGCCTTATGAGAATTATTAGTGTTCAGGTTATAAACATTGGCAGATAGCAGTCGGTCCCGCCCGGCTATCTGACAAACACCGATTTTCCATTTGGACTTAGGATCTGGGGCTTGTGATAAGGAAGTATGAAAGAATTGTGCCTTAACACGTTGTAAGGAAGATTGGGTAAGATTTCGAAGAGTCTTGAAAGAGAAGTAGTCATCCAGAGTACATGTGCGTCTAAAACACCTCCTTGCAGCGTCTCTTCTCCTCATTAATTCTCTTATTTCTAGATTAATCCAGGGAGCAGGAGAGTGTTTGAGGTCTTTAAGGGTGTGTGTTGATTTTGGAATAGAAGATTAGAGAAAAGACACTCCGCCATTTCATCAATGAAGGAATAGGAATAGATGGGATCTAAAGATAAGGCTAATGATTCGAAGAAAGGATTTAGTTTTTCAGAGGTCAAGGAGCCAAGATCCCGCCAAGTAATTTGCCTGAGAGTGAACTTAGGAGTCGGGATGTTATAGGAAATCTTCATGAGGTCATGATATAAAAGGAAAAAAAGCGGATTCTGGGAGGACAATAAGTTTTGAGAGGAGTTATATTAAAAAAAAAGATCAAGCCATGTACTTGAGAACTGAATATGGTGAGTAGGTTGAAAAGGAATGATAAATAGGTCAAAATAATGGATAAGATCTATAAGGTATGATTTGTCAGAAGATTAATTATGGATACTTGTAATGAAATAGTTCTGTTGTGGACTTGTATTGTATAAGGTGATGCAGTGTATTTGCTATAAAATACCATAACAAACCATTTCTGATGGTGTTTCATTAATGTTAAAAAAAAAAAAAAAAAAACCTGTACCACTACAACCCATGAAGGGTCTGGGGTTCAGTACTATTTAGGGAAAGCACTGTTTCTCGGTCAACGGTTGTGCAAGGAGGTAATTTGACCGATATCACGCTTAACCACCAGGTTCTCCTCCTTAATTAATTATTTAATTTAGGGTACCCACTTTATAAAGGCTGGGTGTGCCCCAGGAGGGACTCCTGACCCAAAGTTGCCCCACGGCCAATGAAACAAATAAATAAATTTTCTTCCATGAGCCGGGGTTCGAACTCGGGACCTTTGCATTGGAAGCTCAGTGCCCTACCACTGAGCTACCCCACTCCCTTCATTAATGTTATGTATTCAAAATTAACTCTTATCTTTAAGAAACCTCATAAATGTTTTAGTTGTTTTTTACTTTCACTTACCTCTATATGAAATATACAGTAAGGAAAAGTATTACTGATCGTGAACATTTTCGACTCTTGAGTTTTCAATGGAAATACATGTTTTGAGGTCTCCTGTGTCCAAATAACCAAGTCCCACAAAATGGTCTGTGTCTGTGCGTGAACAGTCTAGCTCAAAAATGGAAAGTCGTATGAAAGTGAAATTTCATATTTAAGGTTTGTATATACCTTGTATGTTTCAGCAACTTTTTCATAAAAATTTGCTAACCAGAAGTGCCACTTTATATCAACGGTGAAACACATTTTTACAATTTTCTCAAAAACAGCTCTAACAATTTTGATTAAACTCAATGTAACATTGTATAATTAAGTGGTCTTTAATATCAATTAGGTCTTATCCCTATTGATGTCACTTTACAGGGCTAAAATGCCCATTGTTCATATACGTCTTCCTCTAAAGTACCTTTAATATGGTTTATTTTAAATATTTAACTATCTCACATTATTAAGAGTTACGAAAAAATGCTAAATACAACTTATGAAATAATTTGATGATTGTATATAAAGGAGAAAAAAAAAAAATGCTTATCCAGATCGAAAATGAATCTACGGAAATACTAGTCAGAAGGTATACGTATAATATATCGTTGGAAAGCTGAGAATTTTAGAAAAAAACATATTTAATATAGAAAGTTTAGAAGGTAACGGAGAGTGGTGAAACAATTATAAATAATAATTTTTGAAAACTAATATTATTTAACCTAAATT